CCCCTTTGCAAAGGCTGGGAGATGCACACACCCAGTACCCTCCCAGTGAGTCCTTTCCTGATACAGTCCTCCTCGTTTATTATATATTACATATATTTCACAGCATTGTCAGAGAACTAATTAAGAACGATGGAACGATCATAAATGATGAAGATGCGAACTCGAACACAGCTCTACATTTATCCTCCACTAATGGACATTGGCGAGTCATTGAAGCATTGTTGGAGAAGGGCGCGATTATTGACGCAAGGTTGGTAACCTGCGATTAAGTGGCATAATATCAGTTCATTTTGTGTGTGAGAAGACTGCTTTCAGCTTGTCTTTCCCGAGCACCACGGGTTCTCTGCCGCCTGCCTCCTGATGTCTCTTACTGGGCCTCTAGGGAGAACAGTTCAGAACTGATAGATCTATCCAGTATAAATAGAGTTAGCTCAGGTTTGCTTCTGTAGATTTCTGGGGAGAACAGTTTAGAACTGATAGTTCTCTCTAGTATAAATAGAGTTACTATAGTTTAGGTTTCCTCTTATAGGAACACTGGAACAAATATAATACACTTAGTTTAGTTTAGAGTTCAACCCTCGGTAACACTGGACAAATGAGAGCATAATTCTGCAATCTTTCTTTTTCTAGAAATCTTTACGCATGGACTCCATTGGATTGTGCCGCATCTCAGGGCTGGACAAAGAGTGCAAACATTCTAATAGAATATGACGCACCCATTGATCCTATTGATAAAGCAAGAGTGAGTGCGTTTATCGATATAGTACAATCTGCAGACATGCGTGCTACGCCTCATTACTGCAACTTGCTACACGTCTAGATACGTGATGACCACCGTATTTACACATACGAGCTTGCTCTTACCAAGCGCATGTGGTACAACACGATGACAGCAACGCATCCATGCACAGAGTGTACCGGGGCCAGAGTGCTCAAACGACCACCAGGGAAATGAACTTTGCATTTATATTATATATCGATCAATCTCGTATATCAGGATTTTGGGCACCTATACTCGATATAACTAATTATAAGAGTTTTGTAGATGTAGGTAACAGCCACATGTAGTAGTCACTGTACCATTGATTGTCTTAAGATGATTCCGCTACCACGTAGCCGTACTATTAATTATCTTAAGGTGACTCCGCTACCGCTTAGCCTTGCTATAAATTGTCTTAAGGTGACTCCGCTACCACGTAGCCTTACTATTAATTATCTTAAGGTGACTCCGCTACCGCTTAGCCTTGCTATTAATTGTCTTAAGGTGACTCCGCTACCACGTAGCCGTACTATTAATTATCTTAAGGTGACTCCGCTACCACTTAGCCTTGCTATTGATTGTCTTAAGGTGACTCCGCTACCACGTAGCCTTACTATTAATTGCCTTAAGGTGACTCCGCTACCACGTAGCCTTACTATTAATTGTCTTAAGGTGACTCCGCTACCACTTAGCCTTACTATTAATTATCTTAAGGTGACTCCGCTACATTTGGCCTCACAATGTGGTCATCTCGATATGATCAAATTACTGTTGGATAATCATGCTGACGTTTGTCTCAGAGATGCCGGCGGAAGAAATGCGCTGGATATGGCGATAGATGAAGGACATAAGTGAGTTTGGGACAATTTGTTTAACGTTAGATGATTCACAGTTTGTCTACATAAGCTTTAATAATAGACATGACCTTTTACTATTCAACCTGCATTACTGCTATAATTTACTCGTAACGAAAATTAGTCAAATAGTCGATAGTGTCGCAGATGTGGATTTTGGAGATCGATGGTAACAAATGCTCTTGTCTTACTTAGACAATGCGCTTTGGAAATCTTGAGTCGTGAAAACTGGCGCAAATCAATGCGAAGCAGATCAGTCGAACGAGGAGTGACGACCACACCTTTGCGAAAAATGATTATGAAGGAACCAGGTTTGTTTTAAAAGAGGAAATTCTTGTCAAGATTTTCAAATGACATGGTGGCACAGCTGCCTCTTATGTTTTTTACTGGACCTCTAGGGAGAACAGTTTAAACTGATAGAACTATCCAGTGTAATAAACCTAGTTTAGATTGAGGTTTCCTTGTAAAGGGTGCTATTTTGCAGAGCTTTACTGAGAACATTTTAGAACTATTTAAGCTATGCAATTTAAACCAACAGGCCTTCGGAGTCACGGACATTGTTCATTCGTGAAATTGTCCGACGTAGATAGGAAACCACTGCACATTCTGTCCGACCTAAGTGAAACAGAGGTTTATTGTTTGTCCGACCTGAGTGAATTGGTGTCCGACCGAACTGTAGCCTTGTCCGATGTAAATCAAAATGCACCTTAGTCCAGGACTAGAGGGTCGCATGTTAAATGGAGAATCAGAGTGATGTATAAAAAGTGAACTGGAAATGTGTAATCAAGTGCGGGGTTTTCATCGTGGGGTTCGGAAATTCATTGCCAAGATTCAAATGACTTGATTCAAATTCCAAATTGTGTGATATTGATGTGTGTTTGCATTCATCCTCATTTCCAAGCCAAACTGAACTTAAAGTCATTGGACACCCATCGGACATGACAATACATATGTCCGACCCAAACTCCAAGTCATCGAACATTTTGTCAGACGGTTACCCGTGGCCTGACCAACCTTCGCTTACTTTAAACCAATTGGATATTTTCCTTCTCTCAGATATAGCCGAAATTGTGTTCAACAAATGCACGACACTCAGTGACGACGCTCCAGACAGTCTGGACTTTACAGTAAATCTGGACTATGAATTCCTGGAAGACATCTACGCAGAGTGGATAGACACTGTAGGGGATGACGTCAGCATTGCGAGCGAGGACACCCCTCTATTTGAACCTGAAACCTTGTCACTGTTCAGCGTGGAGCAACGGAATGCGGAGTACAAGTCGATTGACACGAAAACAGAGAACGAGAAATTACGAGATTTGGAACGAAAGAAGAATCATCCGCTTATGTTGATGGT